TCTCTCTCTCTCTCTCTCTCTCTCTCTCTCTCTCTCTCTCTCTCTCTCTCTCTCTCTCTCTCTCTCTCTCTCTCTCTCTCTCTCTCTCTCTCTCTCTCTCTCTATGTGTGTGTTTCTTGTTGCCTATCTGGTTGTGTGTGTGTGTCTGTCTGTCTGTCCGGCTGACTACCTTTGTATCTACAACACGCCACGCGCATGTGCATGACATCTTCATGATGTGTCCATGCGCATGCCTTCTACTCCCATCTCACAACTGCTCGATCCGCTCACCCCTCTCCACATACCCTCATCATACGCATCGCCCTCTCCCTCCCTTTCCCTTTCCTGCCGCCACGACACAACATCAGGACGGTGTGCACTTCAGCGTGCACTTTTCTGGTGACACGCGCGCCCCGTACGAATATGAGGCAGATTCCCTCGAGGAGAAGAACAAGATCTTTCGCCTTCTCTCCCTCATTGTCAACAACAATCGCAGCGCCCGCAACAAGGAGGTATGTGCGATTCTGTGCTTGTGAGCGTGTCTGCTTGCGTCTGTCTGTCTGTGTGTCTGTCTGTGTGTCTGTGTGTGCGTGTGTGTGTGTGTGCGTGTGTCTGTGTGTGAAATAGTGAACCGCTGCTGTCAAGCCTCACCTTGTACCCCCCCCCCTCCAAAAAACGCATGCACATCTCCACATGTGTGTGTGTGTGCACAGGCGGAGACGAGTGCCGGGGGCGCGGGCGCGAGCATCAAGGAAGGTCTGGTGGAGAAGAAGGGCCACTCCATGGCATACTTCAACTGGGCCACGCGCCACCTCGTCGTCAGACAAGGTCCGTCGGCACGCGCTGAAGCATGTGTACATCTGTGTGTGTGTGTGTGTGTGTGTGTGTGTGTGTGTGTGTGTGTGTGTGTCTGTGTGTCTGTGTGTCTGTGTGTGTGTGTGTGTGGATGCTTCGTGACTGAAGGGCTGGTTGACTGTGTGTGGATGCTTCGTGACTGAAGGGCTGGTTGACTGTGTGTGGATGCTTCGTGACTGAAGGGCTGGTTGATTGTAGGCTTTGCGTGTTTGAGCTGCTACACCACGGTTCTTTGTTGTGCGCGCTTGGAATTCCGTTGTTCTTTGCACCAAACTGAATTTCGTTGTTCTTTGCACCAAACTCATTCTCACCCCTTCCCGCTCCCACTCCTTCGACCCTCCTCTTCCCCATCATCAGGGGAGCTCGCCTACTACAAGGAGGACGACCTGAACAACGCGCTGAACATCATCCCGCTGACGAGCACCACGGGCATCGGCACCAAAGGCAGCGACGGGTTCACCGTCACCGTCAACAAGCGCACCACCGCATTTCGCGTCATGGCGCCCTCCAGCAACGTGTCTGCACGGTCCGTTGAGGAGAGGGGTGGATTGTGGTGTGTGTAGATGGTGGTGAGGTGGCTGTTGTTGTCGTTGCAGTTGTCGGGCTGGAGACAACACGTGTTTTCAGTAGCGCACACATGCGCAAATGCACCCCAAGTCATACACCTGCACTCATGCGAAAAATGCCGCGTTCCCCCTCCCCCCCCCCAACCCTTCTCTCCACAACCAGCGCCATTGAGGCTGAGCGCGACGCGTGGGTGGAGGCAATTGAGACAGCGATTGCGATGAAGAGCGGACGGACGGGCATGCCGGCGCTGCTCGAGTCGCAGATCAAGAAACTCACCACCATCATCGCCAAGATGGTCAAGGAAATGACAAGCCTCTCAAGCGTACGTGGGACGTGTGTGTCTCTGTGTCTGTGTGTGTGTGTGTGTGTGTGTGTGTGTGTGTGTGTGTGTGTCGTGTAGTGTGTGTGTGTGTGACGCCGCTCGGCGGTTTTGTCAAATGGCACTGATTCAGCTTTGGGTAACCGACCCCCACCCAGGGATATCCACGCCCGCCAAGTTAATTAGGCCGCCGTGTGGTAGTAGCGAACGTCTAAGATAAACGGAAAGTTTAGCCACCATTGAATCGAGGCCCCCCAAGGAGGCTTACGCTGGGCTGTGAATTTAATCTTTTGTAGAGCTGAATACACGGACGGTGATCACAGTGCACACGGTGGGGGACTCCTCAAACCCCCATACGGCCTAATTGCGGTTTAGCGTGATCCAGACTCTAATAGGATCTGGAGGTGCTAGGGCGGGGGATACATGACCGGTAATATCTCGATTGATCGGGGATTCAGGCCCATCCACTGCGGGCGGGTACGGTGTGTGTCTCTGTGTCGTGTGTGTGTGTGTGTGTGTGTGTGTGTGTGTGTGTGTGGATGTGTCTGTAGATGTGTGTGTGTCTGTGTCTGTCTGTGTCTGTCTGTGTCTGTCTGTGTCTGTTTGTTGGCTTTTTTCGCTGTGTGCCTGGTTTGGGTGCGTGGATGGTCTCAGGTGTATGATTTCATGATTTCTTCGTGAGGGTGGTGTGTACCCCATGCATGCGTCACCTCATGTTTGACCATCTCCCCTCTTGGTTTGCAGTTTGTTGGTCGTGGCGAAGGCTCAAAGAAGATCACATCGCTGCAGAACCTGACGGAGCAGCTCGTCGGTGCGTCCACAACCGTCCACTCACTCACATATTCACTCATTCACTCACTCACTCACTCACTCACTCACTCACTCACTCACTCACTCACTCACTCACTCACTCACTCACTCACTCACTCACTCACTCACTCACTCACTGCCGCCGTCGTCATATTGTATGCAACGCCGATTGTGATTTGCATGCGCTTCTGACTTGTGTATTACAGTTGAGCTGTCAGACCTGCCAGTCCTTGACAAACCGGGTGGTGCGCTGCAGGAGAATGCGCTCTCCGGCATAGGCAACTCCGCATTCATGGTGCGCATCCACACATCTCCACACATCTCCACACGCGCACTCACTCACCCACTCACTCACTCACCCACTCACTCACTCACTCACTCACCCACCCACTCACTCACTCACTCACTCACTCACCCACCCACTCACTCACTCACCCACCCACCCACTCACTCCCTTCCCCTGTCATTCTTCTGCGGCCTGACAACCACAGGGTGGCAAGCCCGGCGGCGTGCTGTCAGCGTTCCTGCAGTCGACGTACGCTGCGGACGGTATGGGCGCCCCCGCCACGCCGTTTGACGTCGTCATCAAGCGCGACACGAAGGACACGCGCTGGGGGCTTGGGCTGGGCCCTGGCAACGAGATCTCCGAGGTGACAAGCGGCTCTGTGGCAGAGCAGTGCGGCGTGGTGACGGGCACGTTCCTGCTTCGTGTCAACGACCAGCCCGTGCTGCCAGACCCCGCCAAGGGCCTCGCTGCCGAGCAGTGCATGCAGCGCATCGAGCAGGCCCTCAGCGGCCTCGAGGTCAAGCTCACCCTCCTGCCAAAGCCGGGCGCTGGCGGCGGTGGTAACGGCAATGGTGGCGGTGGTGGTGGTCTTGGTCCCGGCCTAGGACCAGGTTTGGGGCCTGGCCTAGGGCCTGGCCTAGGGCCTGGCCTTGGTCCAGGCCTTGGTCCTGGAAATGGACCGGGAAATGGACCGGGAATGGGGCCTGGCTCGCCGCCGCTGTCGCCGGGAGAAGCGAAGCAGAAGGAGATTGAGGACCGCGCAGCAGCGGAGCACAAGCGACGACAGGAGGAAGAGAAGAAGAGACGGGAGAAGGAACGCGAGGAGGACATTGCGAAAGCAAAGGAGGAGATGGAAGAGCACGAGAAGACGGTGGCAAAGCTGAAGGAGGCCGTTGAGGTGTGCACGCAGCTGCAGCAGGAGCGCAGCGCTCTCTCCCAGGCGGAAGAGGAGCTGGCCATAGCCGCCGCTGCACTCGAGCAGGCAGACACGCTCCCTACCGACGACGCCGCCATCGAAGCAGCAAAGGCAGAGGTGTGCACACGTGTGTGGGTGTATGAGTGGGCGGTTGCTTCAAGATAGCGTTTGCACTCGTGTATGTGTGTGTGTGTGTGTGTGCGTTGAATATGTTGTCTGGAATCACCACGTGTTACCTGACCTACTTGTTCCCCTCCTCCTCCCCTTTTCCTTCCAACGCTTGTCCCGCGCTTCAGGTTGAGGCTGCCACGACCGCCCACGCGAGTGCGGAGGAAGCATGCAAGAAGCTGGTGCACGCGATCCAGGAGAAGGGCAGCGCTCTCGCCAAGATGAAGGACGCTGCGGAGCAAGAGAAGCTGAGCAAAGAGCTCGAGGGCCTGCAGACAGAGCTGACGACGGCGCAGCTTGAGGCAGGAACAGCATACGATACGCTCATCAAGGTATGGCGTTTTTTGATTTTCGCGTGATGCAGAGACGTGGTTGCAGTGCGTGTTGACGATACTGTTTGCTTGCGTTCTTCCAACGCTCTGTGGGTCCCAATCGATCACCAAACTAAACTCATGCACATGCGCACACACACACACACATCCACACACACTCGTCCACCCTTCAACCCTCCCTGTAGGCCAAGGCGAAGCTGAGTGCAACGGAGGGTGGCGTGGACAAGGATGCACTTGCAAGCAAGATCGCATCGCTGCTGCAGACAGTGGACGAGAAGAAGAAGAGCGTGGAGACGCTGCAGACGAAGTTGGGACGACTCAGCGGCCTCGACAAGTTTGAAAAGTACGCGCCACCAACACTGCACTCGTGTTTCTTGTGTGTGTGGGGGGGGGGTGTACTTGTACGTGTTTCCTTTGTGCGTCCGTGCGGCGTTGTTCGCAGTCAATTTGCTCGCGTTGCAATGTGTTCGCGTTGTTCGCCGTTCTTTCGCGTTTCATGCCTGAATGTATTCAGTCATCTCCTGTGCCACAAACCTAATGCCCCAACACACACACACACACACACACACATCCCTCCCCCACCCGCCGTGCAGGGAGGTTGAAGAGTCCCTTGAAGAGCTGAAGGAGGCACAGGCGGCGCTTGAGCAAGCGAAGAAGGACGCCGCCTCCCCAGAGAAGGCCGTGGCAGCAGCACAGAAGGAGCTCTCAGACCTCGAAGTAAAGCTCGCTGACGCAAAGAAGTAAGCAACTGAATGTCCACAGAGGTCTCTGCACCCTGTTGCGATATGTGTGGCGATGTTGTGTTGCTTTACGTCTGTGTTACATCAAGTGATGCGACGTTCCTGAAGCCCTGCCATTGAACCCCCCCCCCTCCCTAACCGTCTTCCCTTGCTCACAACACGCGTGCTTGCGTGTTCTTGCAGGAACTTTGAGCAGAGTGGTGAGGATGAGGACAAAGACGAGATGGAGCAACTGGAGGAGGCCGTGTCGCGCGCAAAGGAGAAGGTTGAGCTCGCGTCAAAGCCAGAGTTTCTCCTCTCCGTCGCTGAGGCCGGCGTCGCCTCCGCAAAGAAGAAGGTCCGCTGTGCTGTTGTTTTGCGTGCATGCGTGCGTGTGTGTGTGTGTGTGTGTGTCTGTGTCTGTGTCTGTGTCTGTGTCTGTGTCTGTGTCTGTGTCTGTCTGTCTGTGTCTGTGTGTGTCTGTGTGTCTGTGTGTGTGCGTGCGTGCGTGTGTGTGTGTGTGATATTGTTAGGGCAGGTTTTTTGGTGGCTGCAGGACCACGACTGCATGCTGTCGCTGACCCGTGTCTACAAACACAACTCCCTTCTTTCCGTGACCATCAACATGACAACATCGCACCCCCACAAACCACCGTACCCTTGTCCTCCCCACGCCCAACCAACGTATACGCGCACAGGTGCAGCAAGCGCGGCGGGCATTTGCTGGCGCGCAGGCGATGTTTTCGTCCGAGGGCGGCCCTACAGAGGAGCGGTTGCGAGAGCAGCTGAAGGAGGCTGAAGATGCGCTGGCCAAGGTCAGGGCCCGGCTGCAGGAGCTGGAGAAACCGATTGCTGGTCCACCACCGCCGCCGCCGCCACCTGGCTCTGGCATCCCACCACCACCTCCACCACCAGGGTCAGGCATTCCACCGCCACCGCCGCCGCCGCCAGGATCTGGGATTCCTCCACCACCGCCCCCACCTGGTCGGCCAGACGTTGCAATGTCGCGTGCTTGCTGCCTACCTCGTTATACGCTGACTGTGCCCCTCCAATACACGCTCCATTCCAATGCTATGCCTTTGCTGCACCACAAGGCTCGCCATCACTGCCATCACCCTCACCCTCGCTCTCACCCTCACCACCCCTCATGATGGTGATTGTCGCCAGGCATGGGCGGGCTGTCGCTTGGGCCGCCACCACGCACACCCATTAAGCCGCGCGTGAAGATGAGGCCCTTCCACTGGGTCAAAGTGCCCACCAACCTTATCCCGCAGTCCTTCTGGAACAAGCTTATTCCAAAAGTAAGCCACGACAGACCATTGTGCTCATGCAAAGCACCGCGCGGCTCCTTCTTGTTGACGCCCGGACACACACACACACACACACACACACACATACACACACGCACGTGTCATCATCACCCTCATGAACCTCTATCTGTCTCCACGTGCGCGTGTGTGCAGGGCGACTTGAAGGTGAATGAGGACAAAATCGAGGAACTGTTCGCTGCAGATGAGACGAAGGCGCTGAAGAAGAAGAAGAAAGAGCAGCCAAAGACGCTCCTTGACGCAAAACGCGGCCAGAACCTCGGTGAGCTGTCCTTGGGAGGAGGGAGATGGTCAGGGGACAAGGGGAAGTGTGTGAGTCATGGCTGTGGCCTGGCAACAGTGCGTTTGTAGGTGATGCTACACGATGACGCTGTCGGGGACGTGAACAAAGTCGAAAGTGTACGCGTGCGTGTGTGTGTGTGTGTGTGTGTGTGTGTGTGTGTGTGTGTGCGTGTGCGTGTGTGTGCGTGTGTGTGCGTGTGGCTGCGCGTCTCATTGCTTCTCCTTGCACCAACCCCCAGGCATCTTCATGAGCGGCTTCAAGATTCCCGTGTCCGAGCTGGACAAGCGACTCAGCTTCCTGCCGCCACACCCGCGGGCGCTGGAAGTGGAGTACATCATCAGCCTGCGCAAGCTCGCGCCCACGACTGAGGAGTTTGCATGTTACAAGAAGTACCCGGTACGTATTTGCTGCTGCCCTGACATTGCGTACCTTGATCGCATGTGTGTGTGTGTGTCTGTGTCTGTGTGTGTGTGTGTGTGTGCACTCGTTGGTGCTGACGCTGCAAGGCACTCGTTGCTCACCTTGAAACTGCCCACCGCACCATTTGCCGCCGTGACTGCAGGGCGACAAGTCGCAGCTGAGCGACATTGACCAGTTCCTGATGCGCCTGATGGAGATTCCAAATCTCAAGGCGCGCCTTGACCTCCTCCTCACTGTGCACGAATTCCCGCTGCAGTTTGAAGAGCTTGCCCCTGAGATTGAGGTCACACTCAACGCGTGCAAGGAACTCCACAAGTGCCCCAAGTTCGACGAGGTGTGTGCATGCGCGCGCGTGTGTGCGTGTGTGTGTGTGTGTGTGTGTGTGTGTGTGTGCGTGCGTGCGCGCGCGTGTGTATGTGTGTGTGTGTATGTGAAGGCCTCTCGCGCTTCGTTGTGACCATTTTGCAAAAGATGTGTTAAGTCATCTTTCTCACATACCCTGTGTGTTTGGTTTGCAATGTCGCATCACTGCACGCATGGCCTTGCTTGTCAGGTGATGCACTATGTGCTGTCGATTGGCAACTACGTGAACGGCGGCACGAACAAGGGCGCCTGCCACGGGTTCCAACTCAAATCTCTCGTCAAACTCGCAGACGCGCGCGGACGCGACAAGAAGACCACGCTCCTGGACTTCCTGGTCATGACTCTCAGGGAGAAGAAGCCAGGTACGTGCTGTGACCACGAGATGGACGCGTGGCGCGCGCGCGTGTTGGTGTGGGTGTGTCTGTGTGCGTGTGCGTGCGTGTGTGTGTGTGTGTGTGTGTGTGTGTGTCCGTCTGTGTGTGTGTGTGTGTGTGTGTGTGTCCGTCTGTGTGTGTGTGTCCGTCTGTGTGTGTGTCCGTCTGTGTCGCGTGCATGTATCTGTGCGACCGTGTGTGAACGAAAGGTGTGCGTACACGGCACGCGACGTGCATACACGCTGCATCGCGCCATGTTCAGCTCTCTCTTGGAGTCTCTGTGAATGAATGTTCACGCTCATCTCGCGTCCCCATCCACACTCACCATACGCACCATACGCACCAGCTCTGCTTGACTTCCCGACGGAGCTTGAGAGTGCCGTGAAGGCGATTGAGGCGTCCGTGAAGGGCCTGTCAGCAGAGGTGGAGGTGCTGGCACGTGACCTGCTGAAGATTGATCGCGGAGCAAAGAAGGTGAAGGAGGGCATCAAGGGCACCATGTCCCACGAGCAGAACGAATTCTTCGATCATATCACCAAATTCGTCGCAGAGTACGTCTACTACTTTGTTTTGTTTGTTTTGTTTGTTTGTTTGGTTGTTTGTTTGTTTGTTTTGTTTGTTTGTTTGTTTTGTTTTGTTTTGTTTGATTGTTCCTTGTGTGTAAGTGTGTGCTTGTTTGTTTTGTCGTGTCGTCGCTCTTTTATTTGTGCCTGTCTTCCTCTGCTGTTCATGTGCGACCTTTCTCTCTCCCCCTCCCTCACCTCTCCCCAACAACAACTACTGTAGGTTTGAGGATAAGCTTGTGAAGCTGCACGCGGATGTGAAGGAGACCGAAACGTCGTACAAAGAGGTCATCACCAAGTATGGTGAGCGCCCGACCACAGACTCCGAGGAGGTAAGACACCGCACGTGGGCGTGTGTGAGGTCACGCATGGCTGAACGTGTCGCGTGTGCGCTGCCACACACACCCGCACACAACCTGCCAGCACTGCACCGGTTTTTTTTCTCAACACATGGTTTTGTGTCGTGTGTGCCTGCTGGTTGCAGATTTTTGGATATGTGTCGACGTTTGTCGCGCGCTTCAAGGACTCTGTTGAAAAGTCGAAGCCGAAGGACAAATCACAGAAGGAAACGGTGCGTCAACCCGCGTGCACATTGGCGTTTCTTGTTTGGATAGGTGTAGTTTTGTACGTGCGCGGTTGAGATTTTGCCCTTTGTTTGAGAGTACGTGCGTGCATATGTGTGTGCGTGCATGCGTCTGTGTGTGTGTGCATGTGTGTGTGCATGTGTGTGTGTGTGTACGTGGGTGTACGTGTGGTGAATGCATGAGTGTTTCTTCGCTCATGTATCGTCTGCTCGTTTCCCACTTCAGTATGCCGAGCGAAAGAAGCGAGAGAAGGCCGAGGAGAAGAAGGAAAAGGCGGCAATTGCCAACGAAGCCGCCTCCGCTGCAGAGAAGACATCCAAGCAGTCTTCACAAGAGGCGCGTGTGATGTCTGTGTGTTTGTGTGTCTGTGTGTCTGTGTCTCCGCGGTTGCCTTCCCTTCGTTGCGTTGCAGCCGTTCAATCATGCCCCAATGCTGATCCTCTCATTTATTTTTTGTTTTCTCGTGCTTGTGGACATGCAGGCGCCCTTCAATCCGTTTGCAAAGACGCCATCTGCTTCGTCCCCCCAGAAGAAAGGTACTGTTGGTGATGCTGCTGCTGGTGATGCTGCTGCTGTTGTGGCACTGTCCCTTACCAACGGAACACGCACATTTACACGTACAATGCCATGCTCATTCTCTTGACACACATACGCACGCACGCACGCACGCGTGCACAGCTGATGCGAGCAAGAAGACGACAAACCCGTTTGAAGCGCCAAAGAAGCCAGCGGGCGGCAGCAGCAAGAAGAAGTCGGCCTCACCGGCGCCAACAACGCAAGGCGAACACAAGGCGAAAGGCACAGACGCAGCAGGTGCGAGACGCACGCACTCCAAGACAGCGTCTACTGCATCGTCGTCTTCAGCGCACACGCGCACAGACACGACGACGTCGCCCGCGTCACCCCAGCGCAACATCACCATCCCTGCCAAGGCGGAGGTGGTGCGGCCGGAGCCCGATTTGCCGGACAGGGAAGGCGGCTACGGCGGCTTCCACCAGCCAAAGTCATACGACGTCAACACATTCAACCCCTTCAAGCAGCAGGTGTGTGTGTGTGTGTGTATGTATGTGTGTGTGTATGTCACAGGTTGGCACCACACCTTCCGCTCACACTTCATTGATCATTGATCTGCCA